GGTTTGGAGGTGATTTTGAAAAAACCACATTTCTAAATTTGTTTGAATGCAGGGCCGCTGGATTCGAACCCGGGACTTTTACAGTGATGAGCGGCGTGTCGACATCTAAAACATTGCGGCCACCGACGGTCCATGCGTTATACCCCTATTTTTTAAGTCTGATCGTTCGAAATTTGTTTGATATCTTAAATTAAGAAAATTGTGTGTGTGGGTTCATTTTTTGTACGTCGTGGAGTATTTCCAAGTTTATCCCTGAACTGTGAGTTCTGTTGCGGGGTGAATAATGTAGTTCGATTTTTATTGTTCATTAATGATCTTAAGCCTTGCACTTGTTGCATTAACCCCTTGCGTATCATTTTTCACGTGGTGAAACGTGCGTTGCTTTACTCCATATCAAAATATACAACGGGGTTGATCGATCCATTGTCAGTTTTTCCGTGACACATCAAAGAATTGATACGGGCGATGGCGGCCATGCTTGCTCCATGGCATACCATCGATGCACGGTTCACGTCACAATGTACAAGACAGGTTTTAAAAATGTTTCAGACATTGAAAAGTTAAAAAAAAATAATGTACCTATATTTAATAGTTAATTTTAATAGTTAATATTAAAAAACAAGTTATATTGGGGAACGTTGCAACGAAAAAGGAAAAATCGACCTTAGAGTGCGAGAAGAAGAAAAAATATATGTTGAATGCTCTTCGGAGAGAAACAATATAGATAAACCAAAACAAAGGTACAGAAAAAGGTCAGATACTGATCTTTTTAGACAATAGAAACTCAAAGTCAGTAGGATGCATCCTTGTAAATAATTTAAACAACCGTCTCACGTGCTAGAACTTTAAATCGGTTAACAAACCTGTACCACAATACTGTGTCAGACAGGAAGAAAGAAAATAAATTTTATTCTGGAGCTTTGATCTCCCTTGAAAAACAAAAAGTGCAAAATTTGACACAATTTATGTCAAAATGAAAACATAAATAAAGATTTACAAGTAATAACATGAAAATAAATTAAACGTACGGCATTAAATAAGAAGGGTTTAAATTAATAGAAAATGAACCATCCTCTCTGTTAAAATGTAGGGGCAGGACGTAATCAAAACGACGACCGTGGGGAAAGATGGAAGAGGGTTGATGGGCGGCAAATTGAGTGAGGTAAGGATTTCCAGAAGTTGTAGGAACGGATAAGGAAAAAGCGACTAAAAGGATTTGTATGAAGGGTAGAGATCAAAAGCGCAGGAACGGGTGTGGCGAGAGTATAGACGACTTAAATGTAGGAGAGTTAATGAGAAGAAAGAGTTTGATAGAAAAAGGAGCAAAGGAAGTATAGCCAGCGACACGAAGGGTACAGCCGTGTCAAAACCACGATACATATTAGACCCATGTGACCTCTTTCGGGAACTAAATATGAACCGAAGAAAGCAGTTCGTAATTCTTTTGGATCTGTTAAAAACTCGCTGGTGAGTTCAATGTAGACCAAACGGCAATAATCGAAATGGGAAAGCAGAAGGAGTAGACCAGGAGTTTTCGGGTACTGATTGGGAAGAGTTGGCTTGCAGGAAGGAATTGGCGGAGTGTAGAGAAATTGGGAAAATGTGTATTTCCAGGATAGGGTTTGATCAAGGACGATCCCTAGGATTTTGACATAATAATGACATGATAAAAGACGAAAGATTGGTTTTAATGCAGAACGAGGAATTGGAAGAAAGTATTTTAGAAGGAGATGAGATCCAAACATTATAGCCTCGAAATTAGTGATATTGAGAGAGAGAGAGAGAGAGAGAGAGAGAGAGGGAGAGAGAGAGAGAGAAAGCCCAAATTCAGCAGCTTAGGAATTATTAGTTAGAAAGACTATTAATTATTTCCAAATTTCACCAACCTGGAATTTTTTTCTATTTGAAGAATGTGTAGTGATTAGTGACCGTTAATCGATATTTATTTAGAAATCGTGAGATGCAGTCTGTTGTGATGTAGGTTTCAGAAAAACACTTTCTTTCACACAACATTCGTGCCAACGTTTCGACCTTTATTGAGATCATCTTCAGGGCTCAAAGTGTTTGTTTTCTGGGTGATTGTGCCATTCTTGAGTGCCCTCTCGACACGAATCGCAAGAATGACACAATTACACAGAAGACAAACACTTTGAGCCCTGAAGATGATCTCAATAAAAATCGAAACGTTGGCACGATAAAGAAAATATTTTTCTGAAACCTACATCACACCACACCGCATCTCACGATTGCTAAATAAATATTTGAAGAATGGTGAGCAAAAATAAACTCTGATACAGGAATTTTCTGAGGTGAAATTCTAAAGAGAATGCTGATTCTGTCGTATCTGTACACTTGTTTCATGTCATAATGTCATGATACTGACAAAGATGTGCGTTGCACCGTTGCGGATGACTGACACGCAACCCTGTACGCAGCAGCCAAATGCAACAAGTGTTTAAAGGATTTAAAAGTTCCTTGTAACTGTCTTTTATTTTTTCACCCTGTCTGTCCAGCTTGTGTCCAAATTCCCAAATTATTGTCAATGTTTTATCTAAGAGTAAGTTATCCCACTCGGTTAAATGTTCTCGTGATACGAAACAAACCAAGAGTAAATTCCCCAAACTGTATTATAGATTGAATAAACTATCGAGGAAAAAGACATCCACTCATAATTTCATAGTTATTTAATTAATAATGAATTCAATCTTGGCACCTTTACGCAAATTTTTTATCTTTAAATAAAAAGCAGTTATTGAAAAATCCATGTTATTTTACAGATATTTCTTAGCAGATTCAATCAGATGAATGATCGACTAAATTTATAAAAGGATGGCTTAATTATGTATTAGTGAAGACTAGTGCTTTATTTTTTTATAGAACATCATGACTAATTACCATTTTCAAAAATATATATTATTTGCCTATCAAAAAATTAAATATAGCCTCCTTTTTAAAAAGATAGTTCCTACTCACAGTAAGTTTTTTGCAACGATCCGGATTTCTAGCCTTTTAGCTCATCATCAGGTTGAAGGACTTCTTCAACTACGTCTCTCGACATGAATTGCCAAAGTGAACCCGCTGATACCTCCGCCAACGCGACGTTCCAATTAGCAGCTGATTTTTTAATGGCGCTCAATTTGAACGTGCGAAACGCGGAAATTATAACACAAATAAATATTATACTAGTAAATACTTAATATTATTAAATTAGTATAAAAATAATAAGAATTAAAATAATTAGTTTAATTATTTGGATGTTTGATATTATTTATATACTTATTTAAAATGAGAGGTAGATCAAAATCTGTTATATTATTAATGCATTTATCACCATGTTCAATTTTACATTTTTTAATTTCAAATTTCTCAAACCAATCTAATTCTCTCCCTTTGTTGAAACTATGTAACACTCTTGTATTTAGATTTGAATTGAAATTATGTTTTGTTTCTTTTTGATGGTCCTTAAATTCCGAAAATTTGCTCGATTTAGGCAAATGTTCTTTTACTCTTGTTTTTATTTCTCTACCGCTTTGTCCTATATATTTAATATCACAATCATTACAATTGAGTTGGTAAACCCCGCTTTTTGCCAAGTTGTCTACTTTGCCTTTAGGTTTTGAGAGGATGTTTTTAAGTGAACCCGTACTTCAAAAAGCTAAAAGCTACATCTAAAAAATCAGCTGCTAATTGGAACGTCGCGTTGGCGGAGGTATCAGCGGGTTCACTTTGACAATTCATGTCGAGAGACGTGGTTGTAGAAGTCCTTCAACCTGATGATGAGCTAAAAGGCTCGAAATCCGGATCGTTGCAAAAAACTTACTGTGAGTAGGAACTATCTTTTTAAAAAGGATTGAACACCACACTCACTCCATCATTTATCATTTCTATTAAATATAGCCTTATTAAATCCATTAGATTTAGTATTCTATTGACCAAATTACTTCTATCAATTAGTTAATCTTTATGGAAGGTTTTAGTTGAAATGAGAAAGTTAGTGACACGAGCGGGGTTCGAACCCACGACTTTCTGGTAAATACACCGCTGCTCTAACCACTTGAGCTATCGAGATTTCGATCCACTCGGACACCAACTCCCCATCTCAATCTACAACATTTCGAATTTTTCCTCTTTCTGCCATTTTTCAAATGTCGTGTAATTCGATTCTCGAAACATAATAGATTTAATAAGTAAAAGGAAGTATAGCTTCACTAACACTCCCCTGTCCACTTCATATGTCGCCGAGAATCAATTCCCGATTACACGACATTTGAAAAATGGCAACAAAAGAGAAAATTCGAAAAGTAGATTTAGATTGGGAGTTGGTGTCCGAGTGGATCGAACTCACGATAGCTCAAGTGGTAGAGCAGCGGCCGAAGGTCGTGGGTTCGAATGGGTTTTGAAAACATCAAAGCTTGCCAGGATTTAGTTTTCACCTACTCCTACAAACTTACCCAGGTCTTAACTGGACACGGTAAAAATGCTGTATACCTGAAACGCTTCAACCTTAAGGAGAATTCACTAATTTGATGGACCGCTTGACCAATTAATATATTACAATAAATTAAGGTTTTTATTGTAGTTGAGATTTTTCAAATGTCGTGTAATCGGATTGGATTCTCGACGACAAATGAAATGGCTACGGAGGGCTTTAGTGAAGTATACTTCATTTTAAATCATTAAATTCACTAATTTCGTGGTCCGCTTGACCAATTGAAAAATGGCAAAAAGGAGGGAAAATTCAAAAGGTGGGGTTGAGATGGGAAGTTAGTGTCCGAGTGGATCGAACTCACGATAGCTCAAGTGGTAGAGCAGCGGCCGAAGGTCGTGGGTTCGAATCCCGCTCGTGACACTAACTTTTTCATTTCAACCAAAACCTTCCATAAAAAGATTAGGTATAACATTATTGTTTATAATAAAGGCTTTTTATATTAGAAACAATTTGCTGAATTGTAACGAAGTGTATTTATAAAGAAATATTTTATTAAATATAATTTTCTTACTTGTGCATTTCTTCTATGGAGTGAAATGAACCAAACTCATCTTCTTCAAAACCTGCAATATAATTTTTCAAAAACATTAGTAAAATTTAAATGATTTTCTATAATTAAACAAATTATCCATTAAGTTGCAGTTTATGTTGGGTTACTAAATCACTGAAGACTAATCAAACAAACGACTAACGTTTTCTTTTGTACTAAACCAAAAAGGTATCAAATCAAATTGGTTCTCCGTAAATGCTATTTGTTTGAGCCTTCCTGGAGCCGGTTGATTGTTAATTTTTCCCCCTTTTATCACTGATAAGAACTTTGGACTAATTCGCTGGTACAATAAGAGAGTTAAACTCAGTAAAACAGAAAATTTAGTTATCTCAGAAAACAAGAAGTTAGTAGTTCGGAGGAGCTCGAGACCGGTGTTAGGCATCTAAACTGGCCTTTCGTCCTTGTGTAAATAGTCATCCTAAAGTAGTCCACTGGGTCCGAACAAGTTTGGAGAATCGATTAGGACCAAAATTACTTGGTCAAAGTTAAAACGTTTGTTGTTATTCCCACGATCGTACTTATTGTTTGTTATAATTAAAGCTCACGCGGCGAACCATAGAAGAAAATTTTAAACAGGAGAATATCATATCGAGATAAATAAATATTTCGAGTTTTCCTGCTTATTGGCCAGTGTACACTAATGAAAGTGCAAAGTTTAGTTAGATTCCTAGACTGTCCTTGGCCTTATGAATGAGTCAGTATTCAAGGAAATTTTAGGTCGCCTGTAAAATCCCAATCTGTAGACATATTTATATTTTAAGTGTTTCCCTAATGATGACCTTAAAATAGGTCACAAGCTTAGCAATAACAACTGAATTTGCTTGTTTCCTCAGGAAATAAAATTTATACGGGGCTTTCCGATTCTCTGACTATTCGACCAATCGGATGACATAAAGACAAAAATTTATATCTAATCCAGCAAGGCGGTTTTGTTAAATATCTTAGGTTCGAATACAGGGCCGTGGGATTCGAACCCGGGACCTTAACGTTACACATAGGACCGCCTGTACAGTTGCGGCCACGGACGCCACTTTGCATTGTTGATAACCTGTAAAACCTTTTCTAAAAAGGAGTAGTTGTATTTGTACGTTCAGTAAAATATATGAAAAATACCAAACAACTAAAAATAGAACATCCTGGAAACAAAGAAATCGGTCATAAATATTAACTGTGGGTAAGAAGGTCTATGAAATAAGCCATTTTTTAAGAATTATGACTTCATTTTAAAACCGATGTAATAAAATTCAACCCGGAAACCATTATATCAGAGGATTTCTGATAAAATGGAAAGTTTAATCGTTGTGTTGGGCCATTTGATGGAAAGGGATAATTAGCCGGTCTATTACAAATCAATCTATTAAAATTCTATCATTAACGCCATCTGTAGATTACAATTATGATTATCTTTGACATAAGCATTTAATCGTCTTTCGATTGAAGTAAGTAATAGATGTCATGTTATTATTCATGTAAAAGGTTCATGTTATCATGGTTAATTATGTTAAGAGAGTTCACGTCCAATCATCATTGATAGCTGAACTTCAATTTATGACCTAACCAATCGCATAAAAATTTTTACTTTTCATTCGCGGATTATTTCCAAATCTATCTTTTCACCTTATGATCTTCAATCAAAATCACATGAATCCAATAGGACCTAACTGCCCTCAGCTCGTTGAAAGTAGACCCTCTCAAATTAATAAGTCCCCCAAAAGTGTATTTGGATCCTATCCCCGTCTCAAATCTTTACATCCTATTGGTCATAAACAACCAACCTATCTCCTTTTATCAAGTCATTATTGCCAAAAACCTAGGGATCGTCCTTGATCCAATCCTATTCTGGAAACCCTCTTCGTAAATTCCCACCTCTATTTCTCCACCCTCCGTCAATTCCTCTCATGTAAGCCAATTTTTCCCAATTATTATTCGGAAATCATGAGATGCGGTCTGGTGTGATTAGGTTTCAGAAAAACATTTTCTTTATCGTGCCAACGTTTCGATCTTTATTGAGATCGTCTTCAGGGCTCAAAGTGTTTGTTTTCTGCGTGATTGTGCCATTCTTGCGTGCCGTGTTGAGAGGGCACTCAAGAATGGCCCACACAGAAGACAAACACTTTGAGCTCTGAAGATGATCTCAATAAAGATCGAAACGTTGGCACGATAAAGAAAATGTTTTTCTGAAACCTACATGACACCAGACCGCAATTTCCGAATAATCATCGACTAACGGTCCCTAAACACCACACATTTTCCCAATTCGTACAAGCCAACTCCCGGTCTCCTCCCTTGTGCTTCCTCATTTCGATTATTGCTGTTTGGTCTACAGTGGACTCAGCAGCGAGCTATTAACAGATCCGAGAGAATCATGAACTGCTTTTTTCGGTTCATATTTAGCTCTCCAAAGAGGTCACATGGGTGTAATATGTTTCGTGGTTTTGACACGGCTGTACCCTTCGTATCCCCGTTCCCATTCCTATATTTATAATTTGTTTTAATTTTAATTTTTAATTTAATTTGTTTTCATTTAAGTCTTCTATATACTCGCCACCCTAATTCCCGCCCTTCTGATCTTTACCACCCCCTAATGCAAATCGTTTATATAACACTTTTCTTATCCATTCCTACAACATCCGGAATTCCCTACCTCCCTCAATTCGCCGGGCCTCAAACCCCTTTCTAAATTTAAGTCGCGTCTTTTTGACTACCCCCTGTCACAACAGTTTAATGATTAATTTTCTGTTAATTTTTCCCCTTGGTATTTACTTTAGTCGTAGCACTTTTTCTTTATTTATACATTCATTTTGACATGAATTATGCCAAATGTCCTTGTTTTATTCAAGGACGAGCAAAGTCCCAGAGTAAAATTTATTTTTCTTCTTCTTTTTTATTCAGCGCTAATGTTATTAATCCTTTCTTGCCGAAGATGCCTCAGGGCAACGTCAAATTTAGCAAATTTGCTAAAAGTTAGTTAATCTCATGAGTTAAGGGTTGGTGTAGGGGCGTCGGTGGCCGCAAGGGTTTAGGCGTTGTCACGGCGTTCATCACTGTAGGGTAAAGGTCCCGGGTTCGAATCCAGCGGCCCTGCATTCGAACGGGACATACTTATAAATGGGCTTTTTTCAAAAACACCGGCACCCTGAGGGTTTATGTGATCTCTGCTGTTGCAAACCCTCGTAAAAAATTAAATAAATAATAATGGTTGGAGTCGTGTGTTTCCTTCAAGGTTTCATGTTTTGTATTGGCTTTCAGGGAAATTAACAATTTTGTAAAAAGTTAGCTGGAAATCTCGTTAGTTTTGTGCAGGCGCAATGTTTCCAAGTATGTTTCTACCTGTATGTTGACAGCACTGGCTTATTTGGCGCCAATCTAAACTGTTTCACTAAATTTACGAATTTCCCACTAGCCTTTTAACCAAATTTCTAATGTTTGTTGTCTAGCTCTAAGACCGCATTGGGCCATAAAGGGTTGATTACTAAAAAAGCGAAAAACAAGTCAAAAATAGAGAAACTTGATTTTTATTAATAGAATTTTCTTTTGTTTAAAAAAATAAAAAGAGAAAACTTGGGACAAAGACATAATGACAACTTGGGTTATGAAAACAATACAATTTTTATATTTTTCCTCCCGCTAATTCGTTTTTCATCAGATAACAAATGACCGTTTCTCAATCAAAGACGACAATAAGTAGGAAGGAACTTTTAGGTAACTTTATACCTAATTTCAATGTTTTTTTCCCTAATTGGGCCAGCTCTTAATCCAGAAATAACGGAACCCAATTAATTAAAACTTCGTGAAACGATTTAGCATTTAGAAACCTAGAGAACTCGGTAGGATGGGGAGATGGGAAGATTAAGTAGACGAGACGGAGAAGGTGGAATGGGACGGTGCTCGATATTAAATTTTATCCTTGTAACAGGAAAGAAGAACTTGCTCTAACAAATTTGATTGATGTCACCTGAGTACAGTTTTATTTCACACTGACGAGCCTGACCGAGTAATTTCGGTAAGTAAAAGCGCATCTTTTTTTCAGGACCAGATAGTTTATTCACAATCCTGCTCTGGATAAAGTTTTTTTCTGGTCCCATAAAGGTCGATTCCCCCACGTCAGTGACGGGACAGTGTCGTGACGGCTCTTATTGCCGGCCATGGTGATCATACAGGACTCTCTACTCACTGGCCAATATTTCATCTGTGTATTGGAGTGGACTTGAGTGGCCAAAATGGAAATGTTTGCAGACGATGAACTTTTCCTTATCGCAACGATTTTGAATGAAGAAGATGAACCACAATCGAGAAAACCGATGTGGATCAGTCAAGCATGGAACAAGAGAGGGGAATGTGCTATATTTTACAAAGAATTAGTGGACGTTCGAGCAAAACTTTGCTGTTTTGCCTTTAACGATTTAAAAAGACTTAAATTTCGCAATTTAAGCAACACATATGATTACGTTACTTCCCTAGTGGATTCGAGGAGTGAAAGACGAACACTACAAAATTTACACATTTACAGGGAGAGAACGCAACAACAAATATGCATTTCGTGTAAGAGAAATATTCACTGATTATTTCAATTCTGATGCTTGATCTCTTCCATGGTTATCAAATACCCATTTTTTCCTATTTTCCTCCTGAGAGTATTCTTGAAATCCATGAGCATGAAGATGGGACCGTGTATTTTGAATTTTAATGATCAAACAACATAAGGTGATTTCATACCAACTGAATTATTTTTTTGTCATTCATGGTGTACGGCCGTGAAAACTGTAAAATATGGTCAATAAGAAATCATACGATCACGATACGGTGACACCGCCAGCTCTGTTCTTACGGGCAAGTGTGAACAAAGCCATTAAGTTGGCATGAAGAATATTTTCAAACTCGACAGTGGAAAAAATGCCGGTCACGGCACTGTCACGTCACTGATGGGTGTTAACGATCTTTATATGATGATACATTGTGCCTATCGATAACAGAGCAAGAGTTAGTTTTAATTGATCATATTCTACTTTTTTT